TTAAGTTTTCTTGATCATTAGGGGCCAGATGTATTCTTGCTTTAGGAAAGAATTTATGGCATCATGGGAAATTTAAACTCCTACCCAAATGCAATGTTTGGGAAATAATTTCCTTCTCCAGCCTGTATTTTGAGCAAATAGGGATATGAAACTAACTTTTATGGCAGATCTAAAATCTGCCATCATTTAGAATCTTGCCCCAAATCATTGTCCTTACTCAGGGCCCATAATCTATTGCCACGTACAGTTGATTCAGTTGTAGCTTAGAAACGTGGGAGGTGGGATGAGGAGGGGATAGAAGCTTGGAGGGAATAATCAGAAGCAAAGAAACGTGACAACGTATGTAATACGTGCACCTTTGGACCTCTAAGCACACTTTCTTTCAAGTCAAATTGATTCCTGGTGACATGCACAGCCTTACGTAGTTTTGTTTGGCAACAATATGGAAATGCTTTGCCTTCTGCAATTTTTCTTTTAATGACTTCCTAGGTTAGCCTTAACATGTAAGATTTCCTCCTGGTGGTCTCTCATCCATGTACTAACCAGGTCTCACCTGCTTAGCTTTTCAGGATTAGCTAAAGTTTTGCAACCAAAGTCTCTTTAATGCATTTTGCTATGGACAAAGCTATGCATGTTTTCAAGGTGAACTTATTGGTGCTAGCCACCTAACTTATTACAGGAAATTAATAACACATATTAAAGATCTTTATTCTACTAACAATGAATTGAAGTTTTCATTTATTAAATCATAAGCTGTCTTAACTTTTTTTTATTACTGCTGCTGAACAAAAAAAATGATTGAGAGATGGCAATTTAATTTGATGAAAATGGGTGAAATTTTGAACATTCAGATGGATGCCTATGAAAAGGGGAAAACAAGGTGACGTCAGCAAGAAAGGCCATACAGGTAGCTCAGATTTTGAAGAGGTGGTGTCAGGAAAGCTAAACATCATAATGAACTGAGGGTGTTAGGAACAAAAGGCCACCTTCCGATAAGTTCAGAGTAAAAGAGAGAGAAAAAAAGAACCTGCATGGTAGATGCTGGCTAAATGGTTGAAGGACAGGAAAAAAATTACTATTTTGGCTGTTTTCTCTGACAAGAGGACATGCGTTCCACCAGGTTGTTGCCCAGCTAACTGAAGAAATAAGCCTCCAACACAAGTCCGAGAGAACTATTCCAGTTGAGTGTTAGAAAAACTTTCTAAGAACAGTTCTACTGTGGAGTCCATGGGTGCGTTTGGAGAAGATACAGCTTTCTGTTGTGATGGTCATTCTGATGATCATTCTTTCTCACCTTCTCCTGGTCTTTTTGACTCTTCTGGATTGTCAGTTGCAGACGTCTTCTGGAATTTGGACATTCTTAACAATGACAAACTTTCAGCAATAAACTACAAGCAGCTGTAATTTTAATCTACTGAATCCCCAGAGAATTGGGTCATAACTTACTTTGGAAATGGCTAAGCAAGTTGTTATCGTTGTTGGCAGGCCTTCTTGGTTCTCCTCACCACTGGTTCAGGTCCAGGAGAGCACAGTTCACTTCCTGATTCACTTCCATTTCTATTTCTTTTTTTTGCTAATCCCTACATTTGTTGAGTCATTGAGAGCACTATCAGCTCAAATTGCTGGTGTTGACATCTGGACCTTCTACAGGAACACCTAATTATTTAAATAACTTGATTACGGTTCATGTTCTTGTGCAGAGTTTGATCCTAAAATCAAGGTTGATTAGTTTTACCTCCTCATGTTAGTATAACTACCTCACTTTTAAGGGCTTTGTTCCCCATCTAGCCTCCTACCCTTTGGAATCAACTCCCCCTCGAATTATATCTGAAGTTTGATTTCTTGAAGTTTAAAATGGCTCTGATTTCTTCTTTTTCCAGGACTTGTATGAAGCCAGGAATAACTTTCTTCTTATTCAGCATAGATTTATATTATGGTTGTTCTAGCATTAAATATTTTGCATTGACTGTTTTGTTGTTTATATTAGCTGTCATTGCATTGCATTTTATTATCTCTACTGCACTTAGTTATTAAAAAAAAATCAAACAAAATTACTGTTACCACCATTTAAACAGAATCTGTAATGGTCTATCTTACATGCCTTGCTCTGGATTCTTGCACTAAGAAGGGCATTTTATTTAATGATCTAAATGGGCCTTTCCAATTCTATGATTCTGCATTCTTTAATCAGGGTGCCCTCCAGATCTTGGACATCAACTTCCAGAATCCTTAGCAATGGCCTGATGGTTTGGGAATATTTGGAATTCTTCCACTGATCTGGAAGAATGAATAAGCAATGGTAAATCAGCCCTTAATTGGTTGGCATTCCTCCTTCAAACATCTTGAAATGCAAGTAGAGGGTATGCAACCACCATTTTTCTGTTGAGAAAATCCTTAATAATCTCTGTTGGAAGCTATCAGTCAGCAGAACTGTGCAGAGTATGGAAGATGACCTTGATCGAGATATGTGTTGCCAAGGAGACAAGGGGTAATACATTGTTTTAAGTTCAGAACGTCCAGATAACATTTGGAAGCAGTTCAGACAGAAGCCTCCCTAATTCACTCGAGTATAAGAAGGAAGAGGCATACAATACAATTGGACTTGAAAGATTCTGTTATTATAGCTAGTCTCAATGAAAGTAGTTGTAGCCTTCTGTGGAGTTGATTTCCTGGTCTGGTCTACCTAGTGGGGCTCGTAAGAATACAACCAAGGGACAATGTCTCCAAAGAAATCTGAGAGCTGGCCATCATACATCAATTAACCCGTCCATCCAGGGTACTGGAAAAGAACAGGACAGCACGAAACCCAGAATTTGCCAACTTCTGATACGGATAATTCAGAGCTCACTCACTACAAAGAACAGAGCTCATTCACTGATTTCCTATATTCCCAAACTTCAGAAAATTTCTTTGCCTATCTGGAGATACCAGGGTTAAACCTGGGACCTTCTGTATGAAAAGCATCTGCTCTACCTAAACTAGTGAAAAATGTCTGCTTTCTCGATCTTTCTTTTCCTTTGGGTATTTTAATTCTCTTTGGTTTCCCCCTCCAACAAGCACATGCTCACAGCTATTAAAAAATACTGAGGCTGCTGCTGGAAAAGTTGGACCCGCAGGCCAGACTTTCTGTTTTGTCAGAAAGGAGGATTCACTGTGGACTTTTGTTCCTACTGTCAGAAGGTCACCACGTGAGTACGATAGCAATGAAACAGCATATAATTGAATGAATGAATGAAATAAAAAAAAATTTAAAAATCCATGACCCTTAAAATGAGTAATACATGGGAACATTATTATTATGTAGTGGTTAGGGAGATGATCTGGAAATGAAGAGAATGAAGTTTAATTCCCAATTAGTTATGAAGCTCATTGGCTAATTATCCACTCAGCCCAACCGGCACAGAAGGATATAGATTCCTGCTATGACAGGACTGAGATAACAAAGAACACCTTGCTGGTTTTGTTAAAACAATCAGTCCCTTGATTGCCACAGATCTGTGTGGATAGACACTGAACAAATAAAGCAGGAAACACAGAAATTATTATGGGAATATAATATTTGCGAAAACAAATGAAGTATTATTCCTGGGTTCAGTCGTAAAGGTAACATTTGCATATACTTATTTTTTGGCTACACTTTTGCAGAATGCATCATATTTAGACCGAAAAAGGCAGTAATTTCCATACCCAATCGGCAGGAAGTGCAGCTGCTGTTATCAGGCTAAATAAGCCAAGCCTTAAATTGCAAGAGGTGGGGGTGACAGTGATATATTGGAATTCCTCTTTTAAATTACACCTGTCATGGACAGTGGAAATGCAGAGCCAATCTGAAAATAATTTACTTGAAAATGTGTAAGCGATGCATGGCAAATTAGTTTTTACATTCCCACCCCCATAGCCAGATATTAACACAGGCAATTGTTTAATTGATTCAGAAAGGTTTTCCTGCTAATAGTGTGAATCTTGTGACCATTTACTACACTGTTCCAAATGCCGTTTTAATGGCAAATGGGCTACAAATAGAATAGCTGTTTTGAGGGGCTTTTTAGTGGGAAAAAAACCATAGATTTTGCAGTTGTTACTACTAGTTTTGTGATTAGGTCAAAGGGTAATCTTTGCAAATGAACAATGAAGTTTAATTGGAAATCACCATACAAATTCATTTGCTATATTGGCCCCACTTTTCTCCGTAGTGAGCATAAATGATAATGAAAAATCCCCATCTAGTTCCATTTAATAGGCATCCAATTTCCTGCTCACAAAAGCTCACTTTATCTTTTCTACACTTTCATAATTGGCTTTTGGAAAAGCAAGAAACACAGTCATGCCATCAATAGGGAGAGACTCCAAATCATACCGAAACACCCAACGTAGTGTACCCGGTTCTGGATCCTAAATGGTCAAATGGGAAAACCTCTCCATCAGCTTATGCAAAAAGGTTTTGAACGTTCAACTGGTTGTTGATACTAGTGTGAATTTTCCTGGAATGGCCTAATTAATTGTTATTAAGAAGCTCAGACTTTGCGTGCAGGATGGAAATTTAATTGGAGCATTGGGTCCTCTAAGCACATTAGATACAGATGCTACTTTGTACCCCTTTCCCTAAATCTCACTTTTTCCCTGCATCTATTCTTCTCTCTAAAAAAAAAAGTCATTGAAAAATAAAGTCTGAAAAATAGACTTTAAGCTACAGGGAGGAGGAATTTCTTTGACCATTAAGCCCATCTTCTAAAATACTTTTAGCATGCTTGTTCAACTCTACGCCATCTGGAACGTAGGGACGAAAACCAGTAATCGTAGAAAGCATGATGTTCCTTTCCAATGTTAACGTTCATCGGTTCATTGTTATGCTTTGCATCAGTGTCTGCAGCACACCGGACTCATTTAACTGCCAAGTCACCTTTCAAAGACTTCACATTCCTGACCCCTCTCTACCACCTCCACCCCATGCAAAAACATAAGTTCACAATGGCATGATGACTAATATTCAAGCAACAGGAGACTTTGAGAAGAATTTATTGGCTTGTTGGATTTTAAAGGGAGGGGAAAAATCAAAGGTTTATAGACCATATATATATTGGACACTCCCTCCTAAGGTAAGGGGGATGTACATGATGAAGTTGTTCCTTATATGCACATCACTGATAATCTCCCGGGCATGCTCCAACCAACTGAAATCATGCACACTCTTGTTTTGGGGGCTGCTGCTACAGATATTACAGATCTCCTCCTGCTTTCTATTTCCTGTATGTACAATTATTCGAGTCAGAGATAATTTACAATTAAAGCCATGAAACATTTTTTTTTACATATTAACAAGACAGTCCTTAGGGCCCACAGAGTAGGTTTTGCAATGATAGCAACATATAACAGAATTTTTAGGAAGCCATGAACATTACTTCTCTTTTAAAATCACAAATGAACAGGTTTTAATTTTTAATTTGAAGTGCTCCAGGGAATGGCGCTATCAATTCATATATTCAGAGGTATGTGTTTTTATTCAGAATCCATTATCCATCTCTCTCGCAGAATTAATTTAATACAGCAATACTTGATATCAATTCAAGTTACTAAACGCAGGTACAGGAAAACAATTTTTAGCTTCCAGGGGAAGCTAGTTATTTTTAAAGCATATATCTGGATATTTATAAGCCAGTAATACTAGTTTTATTTCATATATGCTGCAGTGACTAAAGGGTGACTCTTCTGTGTTTTTTATGAACCAAATTATAGTTACAAACCACTTTTGTTCCCAATGACTTCCCTTTCCTCTTCCTCCTCCTCCTTTTCCCAGAATCTAGCTCAAAGGTGCACATGAGTAATGCATCACTTAAAGCCAACTTTACTTTGCCTGATGGGAATGGCATCACCTGACGCAAAAATGCAGAGATACAGATTTCACTTGTAGCAAAAAATGAATTTTGGTGCTCCGAAGCTCTCTCCTGTATATTAAGGATTTAAGGCAGCGGGAAGCAACTCTTGGATGCTGAATATTTTGAGGAGGGATGACGGACTCAATGAGGTTATGGCCTTTTTTGGAAGTCAGCGAAGGCTTACCTTTTAGCCACGCTGGTTATGCTTCTATTTTGTATTGCACCTAGTAATTCTGTTTTTGACTTCTTAGGAGTTGCTATGCATTCTGGTGTTCTGGGAGTTGTGGGTTCTTTTTCTTTTTCTTTTATTGTGGATGTTTTACTGTAGTTTTTTTCTTTTTACCAGGAATGTTTTATTTATTGTCTCTTCCTGTAAGCCACCAGGACTCTGAATGATTCAGTGGCATATGCATTCAATAAATTTAATAATTTAATTTAATAAATAATGTGGAGGTATAAAGAATTTATTTAAATTCTTGTTTATTGATGCTGTTTTTCTTTTTCTTTCTTTTTTTTAAAAAACACATTAAGTTTAATCGAGGGATTACCCAAGTGTTTTATTCTCTGTTTCCGCCAAAACCACAGGGAAATCAACTGAGTCGTCAACTGAGTCATCAGTATGCTTGGGCACAGGGTCTGGGAATTCCTCCTCTCAAAAAAGGCTGCCCACCAGGTTTTAAAACTTGTATTATGTACATTTTAAAATTCCATTTTATTTGATGTAAGTTTATTCAAGTCCTTAGACTTGATCACAAGAGTTAAACTCTAAGCTATTTCATGTATCAGATGACATAATTTCTGTTCATAATCACAAATATGTGCTTTGATAATTTAAAAATTCATAGCAGAAAAAGGGAAGTCAGGCTATTCCTCGTTTTTTTTTTCCCCTTTATCTTTCTCCCTCAGAATAAAAATAATCAATCTCAAGTTTTATCATGACCTGTTCATTAAGCTAGCATTGTTCCTTAGATTCTGAAGGGCAAGCTCTTCTTATGTGCGCTCTGACTGGGTGTCAGTCACAACGTATCTTCTCTCTCCTCCCCAAAGCAAATTGAGAAGCAACATCCCATTAGACAGCCTTACTAGAATGACTGGCCATGTGGAAACAATCTTGCTCAAAATCCTACTCCCTTTTCTTCATCAACTGCAGAATGTTCACCCCACTGGGGGCCACCTCTTAGAACTACTGCCAAGGTTCTTATTGTTGTAATTTTGCTGTAGACTCCTAAAATATATTTACCCCATTCTTCAAGAAGGCATAGAAAAGATTAGGCTTTCTGTAGATCAGCCCTGGTGGCCTCTTGATGTGATATGACCATAACTCCCATAAGATGCCGTCAGAATGGCCAATGTATCTCACGGCAAATTTGTTTAGTTTTATAAAGACAGATTAACAATAATGGATCTGAGCTTTGGCTACTGAGCTGTGCTTTTAGTGAAGAAAATGTTCAACATTTCTCAGACAAGGAAAACAGGACCCCAAATACCACTTTATCATTCTGGCTTTCGCAGTTTTCTTGATGTTAAATTACTTCTCTATGCCTCAAAATTGCATTCATTATATATTATGAGAAACATAACCCTGTAGCATGAACATTAATCTAAAATACAGTGGCCAAGCTCTAAAAAAGTCCACATTTTTTATACTTCTGAAAATATTATAATCTTGCAAAGGGAAACCAGGAGGAAAAACAAAATTAAGCTTCATGGATTGTTAGAACCTCCTCTGCCCTCTCAAATTATCTTCAATGCATGTGCCCAAAATACATGGTAATAGTAAAACACTTCCATTCTAACAGGAGCCAGACATCTGAAACAAGAACAGTGGCAGGAGTTCTGTATCTGGCATGCTTGGGAAATGGGTGTGTGTGTGAAATTAAAAGATGCGTGTATCTTAAGAACACATTTTCTTAAGATAACATTCTTGAGTCTTTGAAAACTCAAAAATGTTCTTGGGTTTTTGAAAGCACGCAAAGCAAAGCTCCTTTAGAAGATTAAAATGCTGACTCTTTCTAAACCCATCTAGAAGCAAGCTGGGGAACGAGTGACCCTGGTTAGCCAATGGATGGTTGTTTTTCCAGCTGTTGGGTGGATATCATCAAGAAGGTTCAATATGGAGCTTATTCTTAGAAGCAGCTTCATGGTGTAGCCTTTTGTTTTGCCTTGCTGTCCTTCTGCCTTCTCGATAAGCTTTCTAAACTGTGATTAAAAGAGTCTTTTGAACTCTACCATTTTCTTAAAGTGCATATAACACACCCAGATAGCTTTATCGAGCCCTGTGGCAATTCACCGACGATCACCTCTCCTTCTTGGCTTGGGTCTTCTCACACTGATGTTGTTCAGTATATTTTATCCCTGAAGGCATACGTTGTATCTGTATCGGTGTAATAATAGCTTGTGATTTCTTGAGTTCCTTGGGAGAAATGGAAAGGGGATTCGTGTAAAAAGGCCATTTTTTTAAAAAAAGAAATTGATTATGGCTCAGTATGTATCAAAACATCTCCTGGCAAAAAGCCATTAGTCCAATCAACTGCCACCCTCACATCTACCAGTAGTGAAGCACACAATGGACTAGGAGCTACAGGAAGCATCTTTTAGGCCTGCTGTCAAATATACATTGGGAAATAACATGTGTTTTAATTTAGCCGTGCCAGAAGGCTTACCTGGCTGGAGGATTTTATCTAGATTTTCTGTCCAGATTGTTCCTGCTCCTCTGCCTGTTCCTCCACAGGCTGCATGGCTTCCTGCACATAAACAATCAGTTCTGAGGCTTCTCCCCCCTGAGTATAAACTGTCACAGTCCCAATTCCTTCCACATCATCCGAGGAGACAACCAAATGATGCTGCTCAGCCAACTCAACCGAAGCCTGCTGCAACGTTTCCTGAATCATCACTGTGTGATTAGCTGACTGTTCCTCTTCGGTCACCTGTCAGAACAATGGGAAAGTTAAAAAAAGCTTCTTAGCTTGAACCCCAGTTGCCCAAGCATGCACGACAGTGACAATTAAGAGCAGTGTTTCTCAACCTTGGCAACTTTAAGATGTGTGGACTTCAACTCCCAGAATTCCCCAGCCAGCAAAGAAACACTGATTAAGAGGAACAAAACTGGTAAGACCAGATGCCTAACCCAAAATTTATCAATTAATGGCTTCAGATTTCAGTAGTGTACACTTCAGGGAAATGATAGACCAGAACTGCCTGCTTGACTGATGGTGGGCTGTTAAATCAAGTTTGGGCATGTACTGGAACTGCCATTTATGAACAATCCATCCCCCCAAAAAAGTTTACTGGGTTCCCAGTGGACCTTTATTACATGGCAGTTGAACTGGAGTGACTCAGGGTGTCCTGGATGGTACCAGCTTATGGTAAAAGATGAGCCATGAAAGACCCAAGAGAAACACATTCTCAAAGGTTCCACAGCTAGTTATGGAACCAGATAGATTTGCAGATTCTAGACAATGATAGAAGAGTTCTATTTCTTTACACATTTCCCTCTCTGGACCAGAAGCCACTGGTTTAACCGTTGGTGATGAGCCTCTACATATCTGGATCCTGCTCACACTTCAGTATTCCACACCAAGCACAAGGGAATGTATCCATATTGACCAGAGTTTAGGCTAGACTGTATTTAAGCATCTTATATAAGGCTTTTTACCAAAATATCAAAGAGAACAAATCTCTAGTCCCCTTGTCACCCCAGCAGTAACTGGAGCAACCCAAACCATTTTAGTACTAAAACCAACTCTACAACTAAACATTAATGGCCCTTGATCAAAGACGAGGAACTACAGGTCCATAGTGTCCAGTCCACGGGGCTTCTAGAAAGACACTTCCCTCTCCCCAAAACTTCTCCTCCTCCATCACCTATCTGTTGCAGGTCCATGTTTTTCTTCATATAGGAGAAAGAGGGGAGATATCATTGGCTCCCTCCTTTTACATTCAAAAAGACAAGGTTAAGAGGAGAAAGCTTCTGCCCAGATTCCAATCCACCAAAGTCTTTGTATTTTCTGTTGCATGCAGTTCAGTTTCCAACCCCTGGACTAAATCACAGACTCTTCCAAACACATGCTGTGACACCATTTCTCTCTCTCCGCTACTTTCTATTAAGCAGCTGGTGCTGGAGAGTCCTCTTGCCTCCCATGACCACCTGCCAGAAGGGAACAGCAATTTGCAAAGATAATTAAAGCACCTGATACAACCAGGCAACTCAGAAAGTTTCAACCAGTTTATACTATGGATTTCTTCCCACACAGATGTGTAATTCCCAAAACAGATTATCTTAAAACACAGCTGCCCCAGCAATGCAACTATACATCAATTAAGCATCCAGCAGACTGATAATGAAAATATTGAATGGTCCAAGGCTCCCTTCTTTCTGAGACAACAGCAGCAAATGGAGCATGAAAAGGAAGAGAACAATCATTTATTTATTTAATTTTCAGAGGATAAATATAATAATTTTGTGCCAAAAGGGTTGTTATATGATATGCCTATATTCAACAGAAGACCAGTTCATGCCAAGCTAGCTATACCATAACATTGATTTAGGCTGGCTTCTTTGGGGGCTCAGAGAATGCGTATCTTTTATTGAGGCCTAGATTCAGTTTAATTGAATCTGAAAGAGGGGGAGAAACATGGGATGCTCCAGAAAATCTAACATGACATGTCAGAGTGATAGACCAACAGATGAGCTGCTCCGGAGAAGGAATTCTACCTCTGATGGACATTCCTGTTCATTATATCAACTTACTTTGGGATGTCCTGTCTTTCAGATGAATATGAAAAACCAAGAAGCTAATTAGGTTGCAGAATAAAAAATGGCACAAGATAATGTAGATAAATATTCACATAAACAGACAAGTGAAATAAATTATCTACATGGTAGTTTTGCGTGAGGGATCAGCTGGTCACCCTGGCCCAAATTGTTTTATTTTTATTCTCTGAAGAACGTAAAAGCTGTCCTGCTAGATCAAATGGAAGATCCATCTAATATCATCTCCCCTTTTTCCTAACTGACCTTCAGACTTCTTCAGGAATTGAGATTTTGAACTCTAGTAATTTCTCTACCATGGCTAATGGTCGCCGATCTACCTTAGTCTTGCCCAGCTCAAAATTCAGGGAACTGAAATTCAGTATATCTGGAAGGGTCCAGTTGGACAAGCCCTATTCAATGTCCATTTCTCCTAGAGAGCTAATGCAACTCTTAAAAACCAGTAATAAAAACCAGAATCAAAATGTGCAGTTCAACAGAAGTAAGACATCTTCAGCTCAAATTACAGTTCTGTCATGTTGGGTTCTCATATCTACTAAGCTATGGTTTCATAGTTTAACAAAAAAGCCATTATCTGGATCAATCCTCACAATGCATTCAGCCACAAACCAACATTTGAAAATCACAATTCATGTAACATGCTAAGCCAAGATCAATCAAGCCACAGGAAAGGGATGATCTAGACCCACTTCAGTCAGGTTTCAGGCCAGGATTTAGTACTGAGACAGACTTGGTCGCACTTGCTGATGACCTGTGGCAGAACTGGGATGGCCATCCTTGTGTTCCTTGATCTCTCAGCAGGTTCCAATACGATTGACCACAGTATCCTTCTGAGCCAGGTCCACGGGTTGGGGATTGGGGGCACTGTTTTATGGTGGTTCCCTTCCTTTCCCTGGGGCTGGTTCCAGTCACTGTTAATGGGGGGGGGGGGGGCACATTCCCCTGGGCTCCTCCCCTGTAGTTCTGGTAGGCCCCTACTCTGTCGTTGTTCAGAAGAGCTGTGAAGTCCTGACTCTTCACATAGGCCTTTGGCGAGGGAAAGTGAAACCCCTTGCTTCATTGCACTTGCCATCTTTTATCTTTATGTTTCACTGATTTTATTGTAATTTCTTCGTTTAATTGTTGAGCTGCCAAGAGTCACTGAGGGTCAGGTGGCATAGAAGAAATAATAATAATAATAATAATAATAATAATAATAATA